GCACCGCACTCCCGTCTGATCTGCGCAGTTAACCGAAGGTGCCGCCTAGTTAGTACCATGGTGGGGGACCACACGGGAATCCTAGGTGCTGTGGTTTTTGCCTTATACTCTGATTATTTTCGCTCTCCAAGTATTTCAAGGCCTGCCCTGAAGACAGAACCCGGTGCAGATAACAACAAATGTGTGTCCCAACACTATAAGCTCGACCTTTATCTGTCGAAGCTCAACTCTTTAAGTGAGACTACTCAACTCGCCAGCTTGTAGATCCCTACATACTTTATAACAAAGCAGTATGGCAAACCAGCAGAGCGGAATTAGCTCTACCATGAACGTAACAGGCTCTCTAATTGATGATCCAATAACCGGCAAAAGAGAGCCTTGACTTGTGTCATGGAGCATGAATGCGCTTCAAATCCCTATCAATTTTGTTGCCTTCCTTTCTAATGCCCCACATGCCCTCCACAATACTGTCAATACCGATGTTGGCTGCTCTTCAAGCACCATTGTGACCAGCAGCTTGTTCCAAGGTATCTACATGTTCATTGTATCTGAGGTTGCTGTTCCCCTCCAGGTGTGCCTGTCTCATACTATATTTTGAGTCATCCAGTTGCTAGATGATTCTGGCCTGATGGGATGTGACCAGCAATGGCGGAATGTATACTCTCTGGGTGGTAATGATGCTCTTCACCCAGGGCATCATCTTGCTTGTACTTTACAAGGGCTGCAAGCAGAGAGAGCAGGCTGTTGAGATGGAGCGGGTGTGACAGGAGTGCAAGGACTCCACTGGCAAGGTATAATTTTTGCCAAGTGTAAATAGACCTATCACTATCAATTATGCACAATTTTAGTCCTGGCCATCAATTACTCACTGTCCCTACATGCTCAAACACAGATAAGTTGTGAATTGCAATACCATGGTTGAGAGCCATGCTCTCCAAGTCACGCTTATGCTAATGTCTCTGTCTGAATAATGGTACTAAAATGCTTTCACTCATCTGAGGTGGAGCCTTGACACTTTAGCATACCCTATATTCTCTCTGTATTTGTGCAGGCTTTGCAAAGGGTGAATTCTGCTGCATGCAGGATGTCAAATGGCAACCCCAGCAGACTACTCGCATCTTCTTGCAAAGCAGAGCACATCTACAATCTGTGCAGCTGTAAGCTCCATAAAATGTTAAGAGTGCAAGTGGCATCTTACCAAGGTAAGTGCAAGGGCAACGTCCTCAGCAGGAATGCTTTAGAAAGGCTGGGCAATAGAACCTGTCAAGACTGCTGACAGTGACTGCACTGCAGCTTTGTTTAGGTTGCAATGCCGTGCACATTTTATTAGTCTGCTCATTAGAACAAATACAGTGTCCTGATGAGCAGCATGGTTCTTCAAAGCAGATCAGTGACAGCACTATTAATTCAATGAATAAACCCTCGCCAAAATTGACAAGCACTTTTTATCACTCTCCAGGCTCTTCATTTGGCCAGAAATTAGGTCTTTGCACAGACAGCCCACAGTGCTCCGGACTACATCAAACACAAGTGGCACTATAGCAAGCCCTCTTGGAAGGAAGTGGTACCAATTGATGATGTTTTGAGGAATAGCATCTACTGTTTTCAATCCTAAAAAAGCTTGCAGGTACTCACTTACCCTCTCCATACTTTGAACTTTAGAGTACAACAATGATGTTATAGACACTACAGCTGAAATCAAGCCATAGTGTTGCCAACTCACATCTGCAGTATGCTGACCCTGTGCATCTATAGCAGATGGTTGAGCTGAGTCTTTACTCTCCTCAAACAGTTCTGGAGCATGAATTTGGAAGAAGAAAAAAGTCTGAACCTGCTGGAGAATGCCACAAGTCAACTGAAAGGGCTGAAGTTTAGTTGCATGAGACTGAAGAGCTTTGTTAACATCCTGCATGTTGTAAACAAATTGGTTTGATCCTGATTGCCAAAGATGAGGGACTATGCAGCAAAATACTCTACTTTGAAGGTGATGAGCACTCTGATCTTTGCCACTTGCTGACAGCCTTATGGAGCAGCGGTGTTTTGACATGCTTGCCATCACCAGCTGTAGCACACCAAGGTAAAGAAAAACATGGTCCTTGAGCTGATCAGGAAGGAACCAGGAACACACTTGGGTTTTCTGGTGTTGTTTCTTTTTGCAGGCAGGTTGGCAATAATCAGTTTCCCAGATGGAAGAAGGTATAAGTTACACTGTTTGGTTTAAATCAAGCCATAGAGTAGTTCTGAGAACTGAAAGGCCCCAGGAGAGATGTCACAGGTAAGAGCAATTACTGATAGCAACACCAACAGAATGTTTGCATCATGCTGAGCAAGCCATTTGGTTGTTTTTTTCTGTCACCTGGTTTTGCTGCAAGGAACAACTACTTGCAAAAGCATCACAAATAGTCTGTTTGATGCTATCTATAGCAGATTTGGAAAGCCAATTTGTTTTGCAAGATAATAGACACTTTTCTGCCAAATTGTCTACTACGCTCTAGCCTTTGAGCCCGAGAACAGCATCAGTGTATGGTGCAGTTCACCTAGCCACCGCTACCTTTGTGCAAATTAGCCCCTATCCTACTGTAGCCTTCAATACCAGACTTTTTTTTTGTTTTGTCTTGTAGAAATGCTTCTTTCTATCGTGCAAAGAGTTCCACAAGATGGAATTTTGATTGAGTAAGAATTGGTGGAGATATTTTTTAAAGTTTGATCAATTTGGTGCAGCCCCGTAAAAGGGAAACCCCTATTCCAAAAACTGGAAACACTACCCATGCTCAGTCAAAGCAATGAGCATCACATTCATGTTGATGGGACTTGTATTGTGTTGAGCTGAAGTTGTGAACCTCGATATGTGCCTCCTTGGCATCCAAACCAGATCTGTATGCCTCTATCCCAATGGTGGGTACAATTTTCCCACAAGCAGATTGTGCAAATGTTGACAAAGGCCATTGCTTTGGGGATATTCACCTTGAGAGTGGTAAAGGTATAATCACAGTTATCGTGAATATACTTCTTGACCTTTCCGCAGAAATATTCAATAAGATTGAGTTCACAATAAAACTTGGGTAAGAAAAGGCACAAGTGACCGGTTGCCTCAATAACCTCGCAAACAAGTGATTTCTGTTCTTAAAAAATCAGGCTGGAATTGCAGAATGCGGTGCAAACAGTACTCACTGGGTACAAATTACTGTTTTGCATGATCAAAACAAGATCAAATTGTGATCAAAATTATACATTTTATGCTAATATTGCTGTCAACAATACATGAGCATTATTTAGAATTTGGTAAAGGTTTATTCCTGTACAAAATATGGGCAAAACAGGAGCAAGTGCTGTTATTTTGCCAATGCAAATACATAGGAAATAAGCATGGTATTGGGTCTGGGTTAATTGTGGAAATATATAATATAATACATCCATTAACAAAATCATATTGCCAACAGGTTGCTGTTGTTTCATTGCTGGAATATCTTAGACTTTCATTATCATTTTGGGGCAGACAAAAGCTTGACACACAAAAATCAAATCATAATGTTACCAGTAGCATAATGTGATCAAACTGCCACAAGCAAATTTGAGATTTTATGAAGACAGACATTTACCAATACGTGAGAGGGAAAATGACAAAACCTTGACAAAATCTCATCAAACAGTATATATTACTCACAATCTGCAAATGGTAATATGTTATTGATATCCAAGTTGTACATGGAATACTGCACTGTGGTATATCCTCACTGAACATAGTGTATTGGTAATGTTAGCATAGGATATATCTGCAACATCCTGCCTATAACAAAATCTTGTTAATATTTATAGTTGGGAGGAGGGTTTTGATTATGACACTACATTGACATGAGGTTATATTCTGAGAAAGGCCACAGTAGTAATATAGTTAACCTATTGACGAAGACACATGGAAGATCCTTAGTAAAGTATTGTTTCATGGCTGGTCGAGCGTCAGTGAGATTCCAACGAGTGAATGTATATGTAGATACAGGAACGAGTGCATGCTATGAACAACTGGACACCGAACGCGTGAGGTGGGTGAGGTTGGGGGTGACACTGAGGGAGATCTTGCGACTATGAAGCATACCGGCAGCATAAAGGCCAGGCATGTCGAACCGCAGCAGATCCCCCCCGGGCCATCATCCATCTGGGGGTTTGTCAAGCCGGAGCATAGTCCAACCCGGACCATGCAGGCAGGTGAAGCCGCGGACGCCCCGGCTCGTGGACCACCCAGACCCTCGGAAGGCGAGCCTGCACAGGCATCATGCTCAGGGCAGACAAATAGAGGGCAAATGAGCGCGACGTGCCGCATGAGCGGAAGGCAGGCGCTCAGCATGAAGTGGAGCAAGAATATCGAGGGAGCGCCAATATCGGAGGAACACGTCCAACAACCAGCGCCCCATGGTCTTGACGACGTCCAGTGGAACACCAGCAAGGAGAAGCTCGGTGATCCCGCCAATCCGGAAAGTGTGCCCCAAGGAGGAGCTGTACCCATGGGCAGTCCAGATGGCATTGCACCGGAGTAGAAGGTGCCGCTTCGTGAGGCACTTCCACCGGCCTCCTGAACCGACTTTGAAAGAGAACAGAGGCACGGAAGCGGGAGGGGAGTTTAGTAGTAGATGGGCCTCGAGAGCGGCGACAGGGTCGGAGCGATCAGATTGGCGACAGATGTACACATGTTCGCCCCGCGATTTCGACACCTTTGTGAAGGGAAGAAACAGTTTGTGTGAGCAGTTGTTGTTGAGCGGGTCGGACAGGTGTGAGAATAGAGCGGTGTGTCCCACCCGGAATGAGTCTTCCCAGTCGGAAAGAATCTCCCCAAGGCGGCATTGACCGTAAAAAGCGATGGACGCGGCCGAGAGTACAACAGAGTCTGAAGGTGCAAGGGGATCGAGCTGATCGGCCAGGAGAAGCAACATGTCCCTGGTGACGGGAGGGCGAGGCGTGCGACGAGATGAGGTGGGTGTCATGTTTTCGACGCCGTGGAGTACAAGGTTGAGGCGAGCGCCCCCGTACCAATGAGCGTTGTAGTAGATGTGCCAAGCCTTCAAAGCGGCGATGTAGCCACGCACTGTAGAGCCGGCGATGGAGCCGATGCGCGAGGCCGCAAATGTGCAGAGTAGATGTTCTGCAGCAGGTAGTCAAGAAGCAGCTGGAATGCGCTCTGAGTCGCAGAATGAGTGAAAGACAGCGACTCCGGCCGCGTATTTGTTGCGGGTGGAACTGGCCCACGCGGTGTCAAGGGCCAGCTGGACTCGCGCGGAGGAAGCAGAGGAAAGGGATAGAGGTGTCATTGTGAGCAAGAAATCATACCGGGCAAATATAAGGAAGCAAGAATGCATTGCAAGGACTAATTAAGGCGCAAGGCACACAAACAGTTTTAGGTACAGAGGAAGAGCGGGTGTGAAACCGAAGCACTTCTGTGACAGAGGAAAAAGACCCCGAGAAACACCGTCCGCGAGATTATCAGCCGATGGAACCCAGGCCACCAAAATCCAGACACCGAACTCTCGCATGTTAGAAATGATGTGCCAAAGAACACCGTTTTGGGAGGAATTGCGGGAACACCCCACATGAAGCGCCCCCACAACGCCTTGGTTGTCAGAGCGTAGAACAAAATGACAGTCGCAAAAACCGGCGGCAATGGTGGTACGGAGACCAAGGTCGATGGCGACCATCTCCGCCCAGCCGATATTACGGTCGCCCACCTTCCAGCCGGCCCGTAAAGACCACAAGAGCCAGCGGCCATCCATCATGAACCCGATGCCAAAGGAGGTTGAAGCATCAACAAATAGAGTGTGAGTGAGTGGGGGAGGAGGAGCGATGACAGGAGAGCCGCAGAAGTCGGCGGAGAGCTGATCTCGCTACCAAAGTACATCAGAAAGGAGGGGGGAAGGAAGGCGATGGAGCGTGAAGACGTCGTCGTGGAAACCCAAGCAAAAATGGTAGAAGGAGGGCATGCGTGAGCGGCCGTCAGGGAGTGCAAGCGTGCAGTGCTGAAGGCAACCGGTTACCTTCTCGCACTCCCAGAGGGAAACCGATGTGCCAGGAAGCCAAGAAGCGATGCGAGCTAGGTACTTGACCTTTTTGACCTCCGGAATGCTGATGGTTTTGCGGGGGAGGTCCCATTCAAAACCGAGGTAAACGAAGAAGAACGAGAAAGGGTGATGTTTGTGCAGTGCCCAAGGCCAGCCGAGGTCAAGGGCGACAGAAAAGATAAGGGATTCGTCATAAGCATAAACCCAAGGGCCAGAGGAAGAGAATATGATTGGGTACCGCCAGAACGTGTAGTCATCCGACCACTTGAGGAGGTCGTCGACGCCCCGGGTGCGGTAGATGCAGACGATACCATCACCCGGGCGCCCGAAGAGCCCCATGGAACTTGTGCAGCCAAAGCAGCCAGTGTGATCGAGGTAGAAATGTGTGACGCCATCAGCGTCGACGCGGACGCACACATACGGCTGGTCCTCAGGCGCGATGGGTGAACAACGGTGAGCCGCCTCCACATTGTTGACGGAGACCTGGGCACCGGGCGGAGCGTTAGCGACAAGCAAGAAGCAGTTGGCGAAAGTACCCCAATCACACTTGAAGGCGGAACTATCGATGCCAGAATTGATGGATGGGAAATCGGGATTATTGCGAGGGAAGGAATGATCTTGTACGAGCCGAAACTTAGAAGAGCCTGGTTTGGGCATGACACCAAGAGGGCCAGTGCAAAACGGCCCCACCAGCGCCTCGAGCTGAGGCTGGGTGAAAGGCCCTGAATAGCGGCCGGCAAGGAGTTCAGAATTAACATAATCGAGAATGAAAGAAGAGTGCTCAGATGCAGAGCAGTGGTTGGGAGGAGTGAACAAGGAAAGGAGAGGAAATGAAATGCCGAGACGCCAGCCGTCACGGATACCGAAGGGAACATCAGCGAAGTCTTGGAGGATGCCAGCATCATCCAACGCAACCGCCCACTTCTCCCAGAGAAAGGGTGTCACAATTTTCAGAACCCCCGACTCAAACACAGGCCTGAGCCGCGTGAGCCGCTCCACACTTGGTGCAGCGGTGGAAGAAACGGCAGGGTTGATGAGTGCACCTTGTGGCACCGTTGAATGCGAAACAAACAAGCTTGTTGGAAGAAGTCGACCACTTGCCCGACCGGAGGGCAATGAAACCGGTGTCGGTGATGCCGCAGGCGCGGTTGCGGCAGCCAGCGGCAAGGCAGAAAATGCAGTGCTGGGAGCCGGAGCTGGCAACCGCTGAGGACGCGGCGGAAGGCATGGCAGAGGCAGTGGGCGTGCATGTGGGGTGCGCCGCTGTGGAGCGAAAGGAGGAGCTGGAGGAGGATGTGGCGACGTGGGCGGGAGTGTCCTCCAAGCGGTCGAGGCTGACATTGAGGACGATGCGGGTCCAGACTTTGTCCTGCCAGACAGAGGGATCAAAGTCCTCAACGCTGGCCGCACGGATGCGGTGGCACTCAATGCCGTAGGCCAGGAAGAGAGGCCAGTGGCCCTTCTTGTACACGTCGGGGTGGAGGCGAATGCCATTGTAATGGGCCTGCCAGATGTCGGCCCAGCGGGCGGCGAACCCAGGTGCCTTGCCCTTCTCTGGCAAGTAGATGCGGACAATACGGATCAGGCAAGGAACAGCCTGCATCCACTCGGGAAGGGTCATGGACTGCTCGCCAGCAGAGCTGCAGGCGGAGGGCACAAGGGTGAGCACACCGGACGTCAAGAATGCGGTGTGGCACTCGACGGACTGGGACCACTTGAGGCCCTGAAGGGCATCGTTGGTCAACATGGTCAGTGGGATATGCTTGGTCCACCCCGCCTTGACCATCTGGATAACCTGCAGGTGGTTGGGCAGGTTGAGACCACTCAGCAGTCGCCCGGCCGTGGGCAGGTCGCGAGCGACAGAGGTCGAGGAGGGAGGCAAGGCCGGTTCGGCGCCCACAGGCGCAGGAGCGCCCGGCATGGGGGCACGGAAACCGCGCGGAAGAGGGAGCGCTGCAAAAGCAGTGTGAATGAACGTGAAGGGCCAGGAGGAATGGAGGAACATGGAACAGAGGGAGAATGGAATGGGGGAAGGAATGGGGAAGGAAGGAAGGAATGGGAGGAAGCCCAGAAGGAATGCCACTCACGGATGGCAGGACTGCGCGTGTTCGCCAACTCGGAGGTACGCACCGCGTGGTCCGAGATCATCGAGACCAGCTGCTGGCGTGCCGCATCCGAAAGGGAGTCCCAGAAGGAGCTCCCCGGCGCCAAGTCTGAGGCAGGGGAAGGCACCCGCCCGAAGGAGGGGCTGGCCTGCGGGGAGGGGGGAGAGTCCTCGGGAACAATACGAGTGCCCAAGATGGAAGACGCTGGGACATCGGCGCGTTCCATTGGGAAGGCAAAGTGCATGCTGGTGCACTGAGCAGAAGGGGGAGCGGAAGCCCCCGGGGTAGGAGAGGGTGGAGCTGTGGCCTTCTCTTTACCTTTGGCACACTTTGAGGGAGGTGCCACCGAAGCGGAGTCAGAAGGCATGTGGCGGTGCAAGGAATGCGCCCCTGGGTGGTCGAGGGTACCGAAGCTAGGAGGAGGAGTGTCGTCAGGAGGAACCATCAGAGCATCCTCGTCCATAGCCTCAGGAGCAGGTGAAGAGGCCTCCTGTCAACACCGTGTCTGCCCAGGGAGAACCGGGACGTTCGAGCTATGCTCCACTAGGGATACTGTGTCCCGAAGATGCTAGCGAAGGTACGAAGAAGTGTGGAGATGTACCGGAGGTGAACCGGAGATAATGAAGGTAAAGGAGATGCGCGTAGAAGCAAGGAGAAGATGCTAAGTACGGCGGAGTACGAAGAAGATGACAAGTCGACGTCAAGTCAACTTGGAGTATGACTTGGATAGAGATGACAAGCACAAAAGGATGTCAAAGGCCACAGGGATGTTGGGGCAGGAGTAAATCGATATTCATACTATTGAATACAAGTCGAATGCTACCACTATTTATATTGTAAGTCCGGATCTTCGGATAAGCTCCGGATATCTATTGGCGTAAGTGTGGAGTATCATGAATAATCACCGAAGAAGACCGAAGGTCATAAGTATACAAAACATGACAGGCGTAACTGCAGAATAATGACAGGCGCAAAGTAATGACAGGTAGAATGTGGAGTGAGTTGGTCACAAGGAAATGTGCTGACTGATAATCCCCAAGGATGTTGGCATTTACTCCGTAGCTGCCAAAGGAACCGAAGCAACACCGAAGGAGTGAACATAGACCGGAGATAGACCGGAATTGCATGGGCGTGACACTATATTATGATGTCATGGTTCTGACACCTCTCATCGTTTGTAATCCTGTAGCCTTCTCATTAAACCAACTGTAGCTGTTATTATCCTATTAATGCTTACTTCTACTTACCAACATTGCTAGTAAGATAGACCAAGGTGCTTGATACTTAGTGCAGGCATGTACAGCAATACAGGCACGGAGAACCTTACTGGTGGTTGCAAAGTGGCGCTTTCCTCATTAGATGTCAAAAAATATTTTAAATATATACCTGTGCCTGGAATCCCCCACACTGTAATGAACATGGCTTGTACTTGGTACGTTGATACTCCAAAATGCATTGTACGCTGCCGTCAATGGTGAGCCAGTCAACACTGTGGGCTGGGACGTCGATGTTGTGGGCAAGGACAATGAGGACTGGAGATGGGACAACAGGAAAGGGGAGTCAGCATTGGCATAAGGCCGACTATTGCAATAGGAAGCGGAACCCAAACGCACAACTCACTAAATCCATCCCATTGCTTCCGAGGTGTTCCGTTCCACTGTTCCGATGAACACCTCCGCCCTTCCGCACCATGGTCCCCTCCCCTGGTCCCCTCCCCTTTGACGATGCAGGCGCCAACGATGTGATACTTGCCAGCACAGACACTGCGGACGTCTTCAACGCCGCGGGCACTGACAATGCCCGTTGTGTGAGGGGTGCCAAGGGTAATATGAAGGGGCCCCGGCATTATTTCGGAATGCAGCCACGTGCAGGAGAAGCAACCTGAAACAATGGTGTGTTCTGCTAAATTCATCCAAACTGTGTTGGTTCTTTCCCCATTTGATATGTTTTGCAGTCCCGCCCCCCTCACCTTCAACACCTCAGTGCGAGGTCTATTCCCTATGATTAGCCACATAATAGCTACATAATTTGTCTTGCAGGTGTATAATTATTATATAATAGCAAAAGAACAAAGTTTATATGTGAAGGGATGGGCGAGATATAGCGAGACATTGTTGACGTCATCCGCAATGACAAGTGGGAGAGGCTATTATTAACAGGGGGAGCAGCGGATGGTAAGCAAAGGGGCGGGAGGACGGGAAAATCCACTGAACCAATGGTTCAGCCTCGGCCAGAGTTGCCGAGGGAATGATGTGGCCTATGACTCAAGGTGTTTAGTCAGCAAAGGGACCTGGACGCGCTTTCTCTGTTCTGTGGCTAAGTCCAGTCCTAAAACCAGCTGGTACAGACTGGCATACCATACAAATTGACCTAAAACTGCTATATCAAGTGTCCGATCAACAGTTGACAGGTCGCTTCATATAACATATAAGTGTGGGAACAATAGGTGTTGCATTATGAAACACCTGAGTTCCTCTTCCAAGCAAGCCAAAGCACATTCAATTCAGGTGCCCCCCAAAAAAGGGTCTAAGAGACCCTACTCACACCTAAAATAAGTAATGGCACAACGTGAATTCTCACACTCACCCCTAACACTTATTTGAGTAACCCACGCATCTATATCTTTATCTAAGGCAACTCCAATTATGGAGTATTGTTATATTGTGTCTATAAAATGTCTAAGTAGTTCTAGAATGGTATATGCCCACCCCGGTGCTTAAGAAGTGCTTGCACACGTGCTGGCATCTTCTCAATGTGACTATCGATCTTTTCTTGAGGAATTGAGGCCCATGCTTCAACTGCAGCTGTCTTGAGCTCTTGAGCAGATGTAGGGGGGTGAGGGCGATTCCGAATATGGGACTTGAAGTGATTCCAAAGGGGTTCAATAGGACTGATATCAGGGGAAGCTGGGGGGTGTGGGAAGAGGCAGATCGAATGGTCTTCAAGCCACTTCTTGGTGAGCTTCTGGCTATGTGCTGGGGCTCCATCCTGTTGGAACATGATAGGCCTCCGCTCCTGTGTCATCCGTGCCCAAAAATCTCGAAGTGCCCCATCCAAAATCTGTTCACGGTACCTTTCGCCCGTCACCCCACCTCCCTTCCCTCCTGGGTACTCCATCACAACCAACGGACCCTTTACACCCAACATAATGCATCCCCAGATTATAATGCCCTTCCTGCTCTTCTTGAAGACTGGCCGGAGGCATTCCTCATAGTATTTTTTGCCCGGACCTCGTGTTACGTAAACTGTTCCCTTTGAATCGCCGATCACCACATAGCACTCATCCGACCACCCAACCTTAGCCCAATGTTGAAGCTTCCAAGTCTTGAAGGTTTTCACCCATGAAAGTCGTCGAGCCTTCTGCTTCTTCATGAGAAAGACCACACGACGTGCCTTGCGACGGTGAAGCCCAAATTCAGCTAAAATGTTGCGAACCAACTGTATCGAGATTGGTGGGCTCACAGAGTTGCCAAGCTCGGAAAGTGTCTTCTTTCGGTGTTTGCGGGCTTCTCGGGCGATGTATCGCTTCATGCAAACAGTGATTTTTGGAGGTCGGCCAGATTTGGGTAAATTTTTTGTGCTTCCAGTTGCATGGAATTTCTCGAGAATATGATAGGCCATCCTTCGGGGGATTCCCTCGGCTTGCGCAGCCTCTGAAACCTTGGCTCCACTTAGGACACGCCCGATAAAGTGATTCTTGCGTGGCGAGTCATGAATTTGGTATGAGGGCATTGAGGATGACGTGTAAAAATACAAGTACAAACAAGCCGCACACGATCAAGACATGCAGTGTGCCATTACTTATTTTAGTAGCGAGTACTTCTGGTCACAAGGTGGACTCTCTTGGACTTTTTATGTTGGTATTACCTTGTACTTTGGGTATCATTCCTCTACTTATGGAAGAACACACAAGTATTTCCAACGGTCTAAATATGCTGTACCAGCCATGTACACACTGCCCAGAAACTTCTGGGTGTCTGGGGTCCTCATCATACAATACATTACCAGTGGAATTTGTTATGTAACCCCACATGTTTACCAATGGAAATTTTCATGTGACTTATAACAAGGCAGAAATACTATGCATGGTAGGGTAAATTCCACAGTCATATAAATACCTGCTTGAAAATCTTAATTGTATGAATGGTAAAATCTGCAGAAGCAACCATGTCTCTATCCTGACAGCCTTGAAACAGCTAGCAGAGGCATATAAATCCATGGTAGCATTTACTCCCTTACATTGCATGCAACAAAATTTCCATACCAGTTTTTTGACTGCCTCATTAGTTGACCATAGCAATGCCATGGGAGCACAGTGTTATCCACCCCTACTATCCCCTCCACTCTTGTATCACCACTTTCTGGAGCCTACCCTCTGCACTTCTGACCTCCGCCTCTCCCCTCAACAAGCTTGAGTTCTCATCTGATGAGGCTAGTGTTGCTTCTGTGTGGCCAGCCAAGAAGTGCACAAGACTTTATGATTCCAAGTTGCTGCTTGTAGATGACCGCACACATGTGTTTACATGGGACTGCTAAGTTGAAGATTGGGAGTGTAACTGCAGAAAAAGCCCCAAGTGCTCATCCAACATCACATGGCCCAACTTTCAAGACAAAATATGCAAAACTATTGGCATACATCTGACAACATTCACTGGTTGGTACTACTGGGGCATCAAGAAGAAGGCAACACTCCCCTTGACCCTTGAGGATGAGGATGACTTTACAAACCTTCTTGGGGCAATTTGCAAGTATTATCCTCTACCCAATGTCAGGACCCGGGGTGCGAAGAAACAGCAGATTTTAACAGTATACCATGAATCTGAGTTCAAGGATAAACCAGGGAATATCAACTCAAAATCTGTAAGTTTTCTTTATCTATTAACACCTAACCCCTGTACTAACTCTTGGTTAGAGTAAGAAAGCTAGCTAAGAAAGCCAGCGGCAGCAGTCATCTGCTCAGCAGTGCAGAAATGAAGGAGCATGTATAGTTTTTTACCCAAAAACTCATGGAGAGGTGGTGGTGCGAGTACTATAGCACGATGGAGGGCAATGATGCCTTTTGCTGGCCTTCAGTCGGTAAATACTGGCCTATCACAATGGGGATTTTCTCCCACTGGGCTCAGCTTATTACAAGTCAATCATGCACTCTGTTTTCTCATTTTTATTAAATTGTCTCAGGCCAGGGGTGAGGGGCAGGTCTCAGAGAAGCCCAAAGACCTAAACCTTTTCAATAACCCTCCACACAAAGGGAGAGTCCCAGACACTGTTGCATCTACTCATGTGTCTCCAGCCCCCGAATCCCATATTCCAGGTGTTCAATTTTTTCCTCACAAGCTGCAGCAAGTCTTTTCATCATTTTCAACACAGCCCATGATATTTGACCATAGCATCAATGCACATACAGGCTTCTCCAGGTCTCATCAGGCTACTTTCCCTTCTTCCCCTGATCTATCTGTGGCACTGACTCTAATTTGTAACTGGCTTGCTTATTGTGATTCACATCCTGAATGGTCTGTGTTTGGCATTGGTGGTTTTGCAGAGCATTTGTAAATAATGGTTTTTTGCAACTTGATCAGCTTAACTTAGGATATATGATGGTACAATTGCTCATTGACACTGACAAACTCCCCTGTGGCATTGCTCTATCTGTTATGACCTGGGAAGCAGGGATTTACAGCTGATACACAATGGCTTGCTTACCATTCTGCCTGCTTATGATGCAGCACCATAATAGTTAGATTGTAGTCAATAGATAGTTTTTTGCAAAGCAATACATTGTGCACAATGTTTTCTCTTACAGTTGAGGGCATCCAGGTTTGAATACCTTTGTATGGATCAAACATGGTATCATCCCAGTTCTATTGCTTTGGTTGAAACAATGAAACTATGTGAGTATATACTTGTATTGCACAGTGCATATACTGGACCATGCATCCTAAAAACCTCTCCACTTCCCATGAATATTAGGGAACAAAAAGCACAAAGGTGAGAAAGGGGTGAAGAAAATCTACATTAACGAGGAAGGGGCATTATGTACTATGAAAAAAACACCATAAACATAAATGAGACACAGCAAAGGTCCAGCCAATGCAAAGAGGGTTGAAGATGGCTAAAAGACTGATAAGAGGAACTGGAAGCAGTTGCCCCCACCCTCAGCTTGGTGGTTGCCATCAAGTTCCTTGTAAGCAACCGCTAGAGCTGGTAGCTGTAACAGAAACCAATATAGTTAATGAGAATATCAGCAATAACAAAGATAGTGATGGAGATCAGATAGAGGAAACCAATGTGGATGAGAATTCTCTGCAAAGGATCATCCTGACCATTGAGAGAAGCGACCCAACCAAAAAATGTTTTGCCACCAGTGGAGCGCCCCAGTTATGGTTGCTGTCTGCGCACCCATGCCATGCCAGTGTAGGTACATGACATTGGGATGGTTATAGATGTTCTGGAGGGAAAGCAGTAAGTGAATTACAGAAGATAGATGAAGTTGAGTAGACGTACCTCCAGCAACATCATGATTTTGACACACCCATTTCCTGACATTTTCCAGCAGCAAGTGTCAGAAAAGTACAGTAAATACAAATTTCTTGAAAACAAAGATTCAGTTTGTGAGGGTAGGTTCAAATTTTGGAAAATGCAAATTGTGATTATCAAAGCTGTAAAATAACTTCTAGATGTCTTTCCCAGACTTTCCTGGTATTTACATATTGGCAGCTAGCTGTTCACGCATGGGAAAGTCAACACAGATGTCATTGATCACCAGGATACTGCTAGGAAATACAAGCAAATCAAAGTCAATCTACGGAAAGCGAGGGAGGGATCCATGGAAAGCATGAAAATGCAGCAAAAAGCCATTAGAGGCAAGTTAAAATGCATATTAATAGGTTGTAAAGAGAAAGCAATGAAACGCAATGCAAAAAGTCTAGAGATGTGAGAAGAAATATGGTTGTAGAAATAGTACAAAAAGCAAGATGCAGGGATGAGGATACCAGCGACAATGTAGGTGACCAAAATGTAGATGACCAAAGGGAGCTCAATCTAATTGATACATTAGCACCATTGCTAGTTGCTGGGTCATTGGATGAGTAATTGCCAAGTAATCAGGCATTAGTAAGTCATTGCTTATTCATTGCCATTGTCCAAAGGGTAGAACAATGGCCCTTCTTAACAAATAGCATTAATGCATTATAATTACATAATCAGTAGATAGACAGTATATAAGGACACTGTACTGAGCCTCATCCCCTCAGACTTTTAGTCTACCTTTAATACTACTAAGTATTCTGCTAAAAATAACATCAGCCTTGGGCTAATAAGATTGACTCTAAGAGAGCTTTATAAGTAAGAAGCTAGAACTTGTAACAGTAGTGTTTTACAAGGTTCAGCACCTAATGGCAGTAGTATACAGGTAGCTAATCATCCATGGGGGCAGTGTTGTCTCCCTTCTTTAACCTCTTGGTCTGGCAACAACATTTGGGCCAGGGGCCATCCAAGTGTGCCACCAAAGCCATGGCTGGGTGCTTTGGGGAAGTGAAAAGAGCAGGAGCAGATGTGGACACAGCATGAATGGGCAACAATGAGGGGCAAGAGCAGCCAAGGCATTGGCGGGCATAGCATCAGGGGATGTGGCTGCCTCTTCCAAAGGCAAGGACAGTGTGGCCATCTCCTCTGAAAACAAGGAAGAGGATGTCATAACCAGAATGGGGGTGTCAGGAGGTGTCCATGGCAATGTGGGGTTAAAATTGCAGTTGGGAGTGAGTGACACATCCAACAGAATCTGTGTGTGGCTCGTTGACCTCATCATCATCAATTCAATGAAACCACACTGCCCCTTCTGAACAGTATCTGCAAGCCTCTCAATGGCAACCCTGCCCCTTTGAAGTATGCCCAGGTTCTGCCAGTCTTTGTGCTCCCAGCTAACAACCTTGACCTTGTAGCAGTGGATGACATTTTCCTTGTAGTAACAGTATAACATGGATGCAGAAGAGTCTCTGGTGACCACAACTAATGTATAAAAAAGTAAGAAAAGACACTGTGGTTTAATTTAGAATAGCTTACTGAGGGCAGATGTGAGGCCTGAGTGAATGATTGTTACACAGATCCTGATCTGTGCTGTATAGTTCCCATTGGAGTCTAGACTATGTTAATGAAGGTTTGATTGCTAGAGATGTTTTTTTTTTTCCTTTTTGTGGCATTGACTATGACACCTTCAAGCTTGACACCGAGCTCCTGGAGATCCTTCCTCAAGTTGACTGTGAGGAAGTTCTCAATGGCCTTGTCTGTTGTGAAGACCTTGGGCTACATTGTGAAGTTGAGCATGCCCTAGACAAGGATGAGGATGATGTGTGTATTGAGGTGACAATTGAGACAGCCGAGATTTACAAATAAGTTAGCTTTGTATAAACCAGAAACACATAAGTATACCTCATTGACCATCAAACTGAAGCTGGTGTTGACCTCAGTAGCTCAAGCACAAGGGGTGATGTACATACTCTTTCTCTTCTGTGCAGCCTTTTTGATGCAGCCAAACTCCTCTCTAACAACAAGTTTGTGGTCCGCAATGGAGAGGCTATTGTATTTGTTGGTGTTTTTGATGAGCTGGGTGAGATTGGACATGTCAAGTGATATCAAAGCTGTCAAGTGCATGAGATGAGCATTTCAGTAGAGTAAGCTTGCAATGCACTTATGTTCTGCTTCCCCACCTTGAAAAACATGAACACTGACCAGGTGCTGGTCTTCCTAGTGAGCCAACAACAAAGTGAGGACCCCATGTAAAACCAGTCAAGAAAGAAGCAGTGCAATTGCTTTACTTAATGGTGAGATTGGTTGCCTTGTTATTGAAGTATTTCAGACACTTGTAGACTTTGCCTTCAAGAGAAAAGTGCTTGATATTGTGCACAGCTTTGATGGAGGCTTGTTGAGCAGCAGGGAGACAAGGGTGCGGGCCATTACAACGGAAAATGTGGAGCAGCCTGTGCACATGAGTCAATCTGGCGTGCATGAGACTAAGACATGGCATGCTTAGTACAAAGGGCTTAAGAGAGGACCCAGCAAAAGAGGGTAGGCTGGGGTGCCATCCGCAAAAACTTAGGGCCTTTAAAGCACACCACGGAGCAAGCAAATTAACAAGTACCTCAGACAAATTTGACTCAATGCAATGGTGTTTGACATATTTGATATTGCCATGGAAAAACTAGCTAGTACATTACAAGGGTCAAGAAGGGAGCTGAGATCTGGTTCAACAGTCAAGGAGCATTGCCTACACAAGTTGCTTCACCAGATTGGGGTCCCAGTGATGGAAAGTCTGTGACAACTTGCTTTCTCACTTCATTGGCAAGAAGTTTATGAGGCAACAACAGCACTCCAAATAAATAGTGTCAGGGAGGCCATACCGTGTAAGCATAGCCTCCATTTGTTCCCCAGAATATGTCAAAGTTGACCATTCTTCCATGCAGAGGGAAGCCATAAGCTCATTGAGGTTGGAAGACATTGGGGTTAGAGGAATCATTATTGCTGGGCCTTGACTACTCCATGCCTGTGCTGGAGTAGCATTACCAGGAGTCCAGGCATGAGGAGCAGTGTGTGGTGTGGGAATAAAAGAAACATGAGGCAAGAAAATTAAAGGGCCAGCCAAAAGCATTCTTCCAGGCAAGGATGGGCTTGGCAAGGAATAAGCATTAACAGGGGCCTCCTTGATTGCTGGTATCGTTCTGTTGACACTCTTTCCTTTATTCATGTATTGTCAGCCTACCTCTTCAAGGTTAACACACACAAACTCATGTAAAAACAGTTTTTTGTCCTTCTTGAAAGGGTTAATGTGCAAGGGAAGAAATGTAAGCTTCCACTTCAAGAACGACTGCTGACTGGGAGTTGGTGTTGGAACATGAGCAACAGGGAGACAGTCAGGATCTTTGAGAGTGCTAATCAAGCTGCCAGGCACTTGTCCAGGAAAGATAAGCTGAGTCATGTGAGGAACTGACAGACAGGGAACAAGGGGAAGGTTTGTGAGGATGGAACATGATTTCTTTGAGCCTCGGGGGCGGAGGGCCACCCCTTGTTGCCCTGGGCCTGATTGAAGTTGACCATGTTGGGGTATGCAATGTGCTCAATGAAGAGCTGTATGAGCTCTGCAATGGTAGTGTGCAGGTCTGGATGATGGCGAAGGAAACAGGGGTTCAAATATCTGTTTGCCTGGAGGATGTGCGCATTGGTGGATACAGATGGATCCTGCACACCTAGATGATGCAAGAAGACAGAGACACCCCCGGTGACACTGCAAAGATTTCACCATAACTTGTGCCCATTTACTCTAAATAACTGGCCCGGTTAGTTGAAATAACTTTATCATAACTTGCCGGGATTTATCCAGGTGTGGATACACATTGTATTTTAAATAACATTTGACAGGTTATGCTAAAGGTGGGACACACACACTCTCCTACCCAGATGGATCGGTTGTGTTGAGTTGCACTGATATTAATATCAATTACAAAAGTTGTATTCGCCACGTTGAATTCGGACTCCGCCGAATCGCCGAAACTTTTGAGTGACTTACACAACCGACCCTCTGGCAAAACTTGTAGGTGGCTGATCTTGGCTTGGTTTGCCGAGCCGCGTTCTCCCACGGCACCAATTCCCATCGCCTATAAAGGCAATGGGTTTGGAGGGGGCCACTAAGGTGCTATTTCTCTCGAGTGGTTTAGAAAATCGATTGTGTCATGTGACGGTGGGATTTGAGTGGCAATGTCTTACACTCGCTCTTGTTAGCCTCCATCTTCCGCTTACCTTTTTACCCTCCTCACACATCTCCCATTCCTGTGCTGTCGCTCTCTATTCCTTGCTCGCTAATTTTCTTGTTTTCCCTGATGTGCTATTCTCGGGGCACAATATGATTGGATGCCTGATGTTCAGCTCTATGTTCTGAACATAGTTCAGCAGCGTATTTGGGAGATACCATTGAAGCGGGTGCTCTCATCTCTGAACATGGAGTTTTATGCCGATGACACACTTGTGATGCTGTGATCCAGACTGAAGAGGTTTACTACAAAGCTCAAGCATCACATCCTCCACATTGCATCGACTGAGCGCCATGAGGAGGACCTCCAACGAGTTTGTGCGAGTTGGCCTGAATGTACATCTACTGAGGTGAGAGACCGTATTAAAGCTTAATTCTTGTAGGTCACTTCCCTCCTGCCATGCATTCTCATACGTGTGCTGCCTGTGCTCAATGTGTTTGTGTTGACTCTGCTTGTGATGCCAAACTACGCGACATCGATGTTGCTCCGCTACGAATCAGACATTACCTCTTCCCATTCCATTGTGGTCTTGTTGGGCCGGACTTGCCCATTTTATGCTCGCAGTCTCATGTTGGACCCGGAGGGAGTCCGTACAGACTTGAATGCACGGATCGTACTTTCTGTGTACTTGACTTGTCGACAAGACTTGAAACCCCACAAGCTTCCGCGGGTAGCGTTAGCCAACAACAATTACCTTGGCGTTGACCCTGTGCCACTGCGAAACCTCACTGTTGTGGAAGAAGTGACGATCAAACTTTGCTGTCCCAATTCATGTGTTATACAGTGCCGATCCACGTGAAACTGGTAAAGGGCCACATTATGACCTGTCCGCAGAATACAACCCGTGTTGCGGAGTGCCTGCCAGCTTCCGTGGAAGATATTACCATTATCATCTGTGTTCTATTTGTAGGATCCAAAGCACCCACGAACAAGTGAATGGAAACATATGAAAACCCTTTATTAGTTCATTATGAAAAGGTACACTCTGCTTTGGATTGGCTGAAGGAGCACAACTGTCATTATTGCCACATTCGTATTGATAACGCTGCGTTGTTGGCGAGGGCTAGTGCCTGAGGCCGTACAGAGGTCCCGGTGAAGCACTGTAATTACAATCATGTAATCATGACACATTTTGACATAGAGGGGGCACTGATGTTATGCAAAGTCTGATTGGGGCTTGCCTGTGAGCAAGGAAACAAAAGGCGACGGGTTTTGCCGTGCACTGGCGCACGGCGCTATGCAATAATGCTAGCTCATCGACACACTCAAGTCCATATCTTGGCCCACATCATATACACCCCACCTGTAGATACTCAAAGACTTATCAATTACAATAAATAAAGTGAAACTGCTCCATCCTTGTATATCAGGTGCTAAAGTCAAGGGTTTGGGCGAGCATGACTTAAAAAACCCTATATACTTGATGCTTCAGCATGTATTCATTCAGGGCATGAGCTTGAGAGTACCTCCTGCATTTATTCAAACTCCCTTGTTAACACAATATATTGGGACTATATGCATTTGCATTGAGCTCATGCCTAATAATGCTTAGACAATTGTTCTATACAAGTGTTGAAATTTTGAACATGGAAAATAGGGGCTTTCAGCCCAATAAGAGTCGGCATCTCTCTAGTGACCCCTCGTTGACCGGCAGCTCTATTTGTTATAATTTGGAAGACATTGTCATACACCCTTGGACGTGCCGGATAGGTGGATCAAACATGAATCACAACCTTTGACCGAGAGTACATTAATTGTTTCACTCAAGTTTCACTGATTATGCACTGGTGCCGTGGGAGAACGCGGCTCGGCAAACCAAGCCAAGATCAGCCACCTACAAGTTTTGCCAGAGGGTCGGTCATGTAAGTCACTCAAAAGTTTTGGCGATTCGGCGGAGTCCGAATTCAACGCGGCTAATACAACTTTTGTAATTGATATTAATATCAGTGCAACTCAACACGACCAATCCATCTGGGTAGGAGAGTGGGACATGCAGTTTTGACAGTTATCTTAAATTGTAGTTTCTCACGGCCGTCAGCCATGTCATTGCTCAACTGTTTATTTTAAATGAAAATGGAGTTAACATAAATGCGGATAAACTCTGCATTTGGATGGCAACAATCAAAGTCTGGCCCATAATGGTCAGAAACCAGATAATGACCTGGCAATGACTAATCATATGCCGGTCAATGGCCAATCAATTGCCAGTCATTTGCCAGTCAATGGCGGGTTAATGGCGGGTTAATGGCCAAATAGAAAGTTATTATTTAGTTAGAGAAATATGCTTTTAATCCCTCACTTCACAAACAATATGAATCCTAAAGTCCCATAGTACTCCCTTCCTTTTTATCACCAATAGCTGATAATTAGTCTGATCATTTAGAGTAAATAAGTGGTTTTTATTGCACATAAAAATTTGATGACCAGCCATTG